ATAATTAACGGAGACATAATTTGACACACCCCCATATGCTAGGTGAGGAGCATCACGTGAGCATGACAAGCAACGGCAGCAACTCTACACCCTGGTGAACCCGAGCCTCTCCTTAATTTTATTTAATTCATGATTCTGGCAAGGATCCGCCGTTGTAAGGTTAGCCAAAGTGTGAATATAGAGATCCAGGAAACTAGTATAACTACTCGGAGTATGCATCACGAGCACGTTTAGTCGAGTGATAACAGTGGGAGGGCAGCCCGACATCCACGTTTTGCATCGACCTACCCTTCATTCGATACTATTCATGGAAGGTGGGTACGTTAGCATAGAGAAGCGGAGATTTAGGGGTGAGAGCACTAGTGGCCATGCTTGGCCAATCGTCGATTACCGGTGGGTGTCAGAGTGGGAGAAGTCTGAGGTAGAAAGGGCCTAGAAGTGCCTGAGCGGAAGATTAATATTTAGGCGAGGAAAAAATGGGTGTCAACGCCTAAACATCGGGCTCCTTGAATCTAGTGACGTCACTGTTGCTCGTAAGAAGGGTCGATGCCAAACTGCTCAGGTGTGGCTCTGATGTCGAAGGTCATACTGCTAGTGTTATCAAGCAGCAAAGAAGCCTAAACGAAGTAAGCTCACTAACAGCCAGCCAAAGAAAGGGATTGTTTCGTGGAGTAAGAGGAAATGGAGCAAATGCACTAAAAGAAGCAGTCATAATGGTAGCAATATATAAGGATGGAGATGCGAGGGGTAGCGAGGACAGGATGGAATTGTGCAAAATTATACTGCCTAAACACAAGCAGAGAGGCTGTGTGTGAGGTGCAGTGGCACCGTAACCAAAGTTATCGACCTGCACCCGCTTGCGCGTCAAGTTAAAAATATGAAGGTGCAAACTAGCACCTCATTCATCTAGAAAAACAATGGTGTCATATAGGTATCCTGGTGTTATTGGATGTTTTTCCATTTATAAAAAACACCCATGTATTTCGATATAGTTACTTACAACCCTATGGTGGCTTATCCTGATGATTACGGTACTCCGTAATGGGCACAAGTTTGGTACTTTTACAACACTATATGCCCCTCATTACTCATTCTCACTTCTTGACATGGTATGAATGCTAGGTTTAGGTCAGACACACTTTCGCCCCGCCTACCCACCCACTTAGTTCCTAGCTGATTTAGGGATCTCGTCCGGGCTCGTACCACCCATAGCGCCCTTGGTGTTCGTGCTCCTTCTATAGCGCCTGCCACGCCCACTCTTGCGCCAGCCGCGCCAGTCCACACTAGCTGTACTAGACACTGCCAGCAGCGCCAGCTCGCGCCAGCAGGACGCCAGCCTGCGCTGCCGCGCCGCTAGCATGTCACCCCACACTGCCGCGCCAGCCCGTGTCGCTCTTACATGCACGACCACCATTGTCGTATGAACTGCAGTGCCTACTATAGTGCGTGTGCCTACCACAGTCAGGATCGACCTTTCGCGCTCCTGACGCTCGCCCTTTGTTCTTTAGGTGTTAGGGTTTTTCTCACCATGCGTGCATTCTAACCCCTGCAGTTGTGCCCCTGCTCCTTCCTTCTATAGAGACTGAGTTTGTCCTGTGGCTCGATGTGGAGGGGCAAAGTAATCAATTTTGTTGCATGCCTCCTTGACGTTAAGCTCCAGTTGCAAAGCCAATGTGATGGCCTCTTGTATATCACTCTTGCTCCTGACTCCACATGGAGGCGTAGGATATGCACATCAATACCCAGCTTGTGTACACACTGTGGGAGTCGTGTGACACTACTGCATGTCTTGCTATCAGCCGCCTCCTGTCATATGCCGAGTGGGAGCACTTTCGCCAACTTGAGACGGCAAAGGAGTGCTTTATCTCGTGCTGCTCGTTGACCCCATACCTAGGCCACACTGGGAGCACTCCTTTCTGGTCATTCTGAACAAATACTCCCACTATACCACAGTGTTTCCCTTAGAGCGGAAAAACGACATGTTTGACGTTTTTCTCTTGTGGCTAATGGCCGTCCGCATTTACGGTGGCTAGCACTGTAGCAACTCTTGCGCTGTGGCAGGTATGCAACCAACTCACATGCCCACGTTGTGAGGTTGATGCCAATACCTTTGAACCACATGCTATAGTGATAACACACCGTGGAGCATGAGAGGCTGGAGCTGGAGCACCAGCAGCAGCAGCAGCAGCAGCAGAAGCAGCAGCAGCCTCGGCAGCAGTAGCAGCAGCAACAGGAGCAGCCTCTTTTGTAGCAGTTGTTTCCACCTGTGAGTGGCCTTCGGTCCCTTGGTCTTCCTTCCCCTCCTCCAGACCGCTCTCTATCTCCTCCTGCTTACGGTCCTACGTTTTCCCCCCCGACTCGTCTCCGATTGTTTTCTCTCCTCCTAGGTTACAGACGTCTCCTCCTGTTATCCCGCACGTCTGGTCAGTTTGCTGTCCCGCTCGTGCACGTTCTTTGTCTCCTTTTGACGACCTTCGCACAGTCTTACTTTATTCGAGTCCTCGTCGTTCTCCGCCTTAGTCTGTTCTCCCGTCACCTCATGAGTCGTCTCTTATAGCCTCCACCTCTAACCCTATCACTAATTACTACCGTGCCGCCCGTCCTGTTGTCACCAGTGTTCTTGCCGCTCTAGTCACGGACCCTCGTGCCTCTCCGCCGTCAGTCTCGGCTCTTACTGCCGCTGTCTCAGACTTTGCCGCCACCCGCCGGGGGTGAGTCTGCCCTTGGTTGTGACGTCCTAGAGGACAGGCAGTTTGAGCTGGAGTTCTTGGCAGCCGCTTCTCCCCATCTCTGTGCCATGCTGCTAGTGCCTGAGGGAGACCCTGACGCCCTTGACATACCGACTCCTCGCACGTACCGTGAGGCAGTGTCGGATCAGTGGGCCTCTCATTGGACAGCGGCCATGGACTTAGAGATGGCGTCTTGGAGATCCACAGGCACTTACGTCGACGCAGTTCCCCCGCCTGGGGCAAACGTCGTCGATGGCATGTGGATTTTCAAGGTGAAGCACCCCCCAGGATCACCGCTTGCCTGTCTTCAAGGCGCGCTACGTGGCTAGAGGCTTCAGTCAGCGTGAGGGAGTTGACTTCTTCTTCTTCGGGTGTTACTTCACGTTGCAGCACAGCGAGACTACGAGCTACACTCATTCAACTTCTACTGCCTTTCTCCAGGGCAGCCTTCACGAGGAGATCTGGCAGTGCCGTCCTCCTGGCTTCACTAGCACTTTCCCGCCTCGGACCCAGTGGAGCCTGAGACAACCAGTCTACGCTCTCCGTCAGGCACCCCGTGAGTAGCACGACACTCTATGCTCCATACTTGCTGACCTTGGTTTCAGACCTTCTACCGCCGACCCGTCGCTGTTTGTTCGCTCTCGACCCACACCTTTCTTCGTCCTCGTCTACGTTGACGACTTGGTCTTCACTGCAGCAGATAGAGTTGCTCTGGGTGAGGTGAAATCCAAACTACAGAAGGGACAAGCACTGACCTTGGCTTGCAGATCACCAGGGACAGAGCCGCTCGCACCATCACTCTGACTCAGCAGGTCCTTCGGCGGTTCGGGTTTTAGTTCTCTACCGCACAGCCTACTCCTCTTGCCGTTGATCATAGGCTCACCGCTCCTGTTCCTGACGAGCCCTTTGAGCCTAGTGGTCCTTACCAAGAGCTTGTGGGATGCCTCATGTACCTGGTGACCTGTACTCATCCAGACCTCGCTTATCCTCTCAGCATCCTAGCCTGCTTTGTTGCGACTGGGAGACACCGTCCTACTCACTGGCGGCACCTGTGAGGGTAGCAAAGTACGTGGCGACTACATTAGGCATGGGGCTTGTGCTTGGAGGGACACAGCCTGTTTAACTGACCAGTCGGACCAAGTGAGACCAAGTGAGACCAAGTGGGACCAATTGAGACCAAGTGGGACCAAGTGGGACCAAGTGGGACCAAGTGGGACCAAGTGGGACCAAGTGGGACCAAATGGGACCAAGTGAGACCAAGTGAGACCAAGTGGGACCAAGTGGGATCAAAACTAAGTGGGACCAAGTGGGACCAAGTGAGAGCAAGTGAGACCAAGTGAGACCAAGTGGGACCAAGTGAGACCAAGTGTGACCAAGTGGGACCAAGTGGGACCAAGTGAGACCAAGTGGGACCAAGTGGGACCAAGTGAGACCAAGTGAGACCAAGTGGGACCAAGTGGGACCAAGTGGGACCAAGTAAGACCAAGTGGGACCAAGTGGAACCAAGTGAGAACAAGTGGGACCAAGTGGGACCAAGTGGGACCAAGTGGGACCAAGTGGGACCAAGTGAGACCAAGTGAGACCAAGTGGGACCAAGTGGGACCAAGTGAGACCAAGTGTGACCAAGTGGGACCAAGTGGGACCAAGTGAGACCAAGTGGGACCAAGTGAGACCCTCGATTGCTGTAGTCATACCTCATGTTTCTTGCTTGTACTTATATATAAAGAAAACCAAGAACTCTTGAAGTGGCCTTGTGGCCTTCTTTACTTGTGCTCGGACTGTGTGGTGACTTCGTGATCCACCCTGAGCTTTGCTGCGTTGTTTCTCTTGGCTGGTCTTGTGACCTCTTGCTTGTCTTGCTCATTTTGATGCCCCTCACTTAGCCTATGGAAGTGTGTCAAATAATTTTTATTTCTATTAGGGGGTAGGCTGTAGTGAGTTTCACCTTAGGGGGTACATTTGAAACCCTCAACATTGTTCTTGTACTCTCCTCACCTTCCCTAGTCCCACCATTCCTACCTAACTCGTAGTAGTTTAGTTACCTAAATATGTATATTCTGAGATACAACCCTATGGTGGTATGTCCAGGTGATTACTGTATGCTAGAACAAATCAATTGTCAAAACCAGCACTAGATAGTGGGTGTTGAATCAGTATCACAATTCAAGAAAATTAGCCAGAAAATCAGCCAGAAAATGAGTCCACAAAAGAGACCACACACTGGCCTATTCAAGTGATGGGTAACCATTGAATTAATCCTTTACAGGCCGCCTACTTGTGTAAGGGGAAGTTGGTGCGGCGGGTGCTTTCACCTCTGATCTCCCTTGCTGCCTTATCATACTCCCTGGCTGCCTCTTCAGGTGTGCCAAACGTCCCAAGCCACCTCCTCACTCCGTGGATGTTGTCCTTTATCTCTGCCACCCATCGATTGCCCAATCCCCTCTTCCGAACTCCAATGTACCTCACTTCACCAGACAAACCCTCTTCTGCTCGTTTTTTATTCTTCGGTTTAGTTCCAGGTCCTTTCCGCTTTGCAGCAGCTGCTGCAGGAGAGGGGGTTGACGAGCCCCTCAACCCTTCACTGGAATTACCTGCCGAGTCTAGACGTGCTGTTGTTGGTGCTGGTGCTGGTCCCGCTGGTACTTGTGCTGGTGCCGGTCCTGGTGCTGGTGCTGGTGCTGGTGCTGCTGCTGGTGCTGGTGCTGGTGCTGGTGCTGGTGCTGGTGCTGGTTCTGCTGCTGGTTCTGGTTCTGGTGCTGGTGCTGGTGCTGGTTCTGCTGCTGGTTCTGCTGCAAAACTCATGGCACTGGAAGGTTGAGCCAGACTGTTGCCCCGGCCAGAGGACTGGGAGTGTTGTGTAACTTTCTGCTTCCTTGCCTTCTTGGCCTGGGGTGCTGCCTCCACAGGAGCTCCATCCAGCTGCCCACCCTGCATTGATGAAACCAGCTCAGCCTTCTTCTGTGTCTTCTTCCTCTTCTTCTGCTGCTTGCCTCCCTCCTGCCTCCCTTCCTCTGGGGCCACAGCAGTACCTACCACCGCCATGTTCAGAACCACGTCGTTCCCACCCACACCAAGGGCAACCCCTGTTCCATCCGTTGGATCTCCAGGTGAATCTTCAGGTGGATCTCCAGGTGGATTCATGGCTGGTCCAGCAGGTTGATGCTCAGGTGGTTCACCAGCTTGACCTGCAGGCATCTCCGCACTGCACGGAGCAGCCAGCAGCCTCCTTGCAGCGCTCTCTGGGGCATCCTCTAGCAGCAGCGCCTGAAACAGCTCCTCCTGAGCCATGAACTCCAAGCTCGCCTGCGGCACACCCCCCTCTCCTGCCTCAGCATCACCGTTCTGCCCGCCCGACGGTCCCTCCTCAGCATAACCTCCTGCTTGCGCAGCTGTTGAGAAAATTCTTGTTGTCGGCATGCCCGCTCTCGGGCAATCGCCTGTTGCGCCCGCAGCTGAGGGGTCTAAGGGGTCGAGGGGATAGGGCAGCGACAGCGAGTCAACGAGGGTGAGCGGGTCCATGAGAAGCAGAGACGTGAAGTCGTCGCACCCACCCATGAACAAGCTCTCTGCGTTCGTGCACTCAGCGGCACCAGCTATGCGATCAGCAGCAGCAGCAGCAGCAGCAGCACCGACGGCGACGGCAGCATCGGCTGCAGAAGGAGTAGCAGCATTAGCAGGTGAAAGAGCTGCTGCAGCAGCAGCAGCGGCAGCAGAAGCTGCAGCATGAGCATCAGAAGGAGCAGCAGCACCACTTCTGGCGAGTGGAGAATCCTTGTCAGGAAATCCTGAAGCCTGTACTAGGCAGTGTGTGGGGCAGGGAGCGTGTGAGGAGCCAGGAGGTTGAGAAGAGTCTACCGCGATAGATTTATGTGGCTCTTCTGTCGCAGCAGCAGCAGCAGCAGCAGCAAGCAGCTGCTGAGCTTCCCAAGGGGTAAGAAGGCCTTTGGTGACGTTCTGCACCTCCGCGGTAGTAACCGGCACATCGGCATAGCCAAGTCCGTTCACTCCAGCCGGTTCCCGGTCCGGTTCAGCCGCCTTAAGTCCGCTGTAGAGGCAGGCATTAGTTGCAACACTCGAGCGGTGAGAGTCGGCGTTCACTCCAGCATTATTCTCAAGAATTTGAGTGGGTGGTTCAAAAGCCACAACATCATTAGAGCTGCTCACTCCGGATGCCATCTCCGTTGTATTAGCAGCAACGTGAAATGACAACGACTCAGCCACTACCGCGGGCTGGTCATGCCCGATATCACTGACAGGAGCGTAGGGTGGATGGATAAACTCCGGCTCCGGTTTTGTCGGCATTGTGCTGATCTGGATCTCTCCTCCATGCCCTTCCACAATGCGCATCTCTCCATCTTGCCCTTCCACAATGCGCATCTCTCCCCAATGCTCCCCCAGGCTCCCCACGCCGCCAACCCATGCCGCAGTCTGCCCGGACAGGCCGCCACACGCCGCTGGCCATGACGAACCATCAGATGATCTCACATCTGCTGACGCTTGACTGTTGGGAAAATAGCCGACAGTAGCAGAACCCAGACTACCCAGGCTGGGGCTGGTAGGTTGGGGCGAACGTTCAGCCAAGTTGGCGGATCCCAGGCTGGGGCCGGCGATGGAACATGGGTCAGGCTGAGACGCATGGGTCAATCCCAAACTGGATTGTTCTTCGGCTGGAAAGAAGCCGCACACACCGTTGGGGAAGGAGAAATAGTAGAACCGTGGCAGACCGCCGCCAGCTGCCGTTGGCAGTGCCAGCGGCGCTCCGACACTGGGAACCGCCAAGCTGCCAAATGTAGGCTCCGTTGGGTTCCGCGGCGCCGCCGCCAGCGGTAGACGCGACACGTTGGAGAGATCCGGTGCTCCCGACGGTATTTGTGCGCCGGGGCGGCGCGCTGTTCCCATGAGATGTTCAAGCAGCTGTTGGAGAGTGGATGAATCTATTGATGGAAGCATTGCATATGGGTGGGCCTGGGTTTCATTTGGCGGCGAAAAAGACGTCAAGCCGTGATGCGGCGGCGGCTGCGGATTAGCTGCCAGTGAAGTTGCTTTCTTAGACTCGGTTTCCGGAATGCTGCCAGCATGGCTTCGACGTTGCCACGACGTGTGGGTTTCGACGTTGCCACGACGCCGCTGGTTTCCAGAGGAGCCCTCGGAGCTTGTACCAGCAGTTTCGGGAACGTCAGCAGTATCGGAGTTGGTTAAGATCGAAGTTGAAGGCGAAGCTGGCGCCGCCAGATCTGGCGGAACTGCCCCATGGCTCTGTCTCTGCATCGAATCAGAGTCGGACATAATGTTGTGCCGCTCGGTATAGCCTCTCTCGCAGGAGCTCCCGCCATGAGTGTTACTGCTAGATTCTTGGAGCAGGCGCCAGGTAAAGACTTGAAGCTGTGCTAGGGGAAAATATTATGAAAGAGAGAACCTCAAGCTGGGTTGTCCGAGCCCAGGGCGTGTCCAAAAAAAGACACAAGTGTTTCGTTGAGAAACGGTTTTCAGTGACGGTTGCTGCAGTCGGAGCAATCGGTGTCCGCATAACCCGCCTAAAGTCGGAAAGTGGACATGGCTCAACAGATCAAAATTCGTGGAGCTACTTCGATGCTCGTAGTTACAAAATACTCCTTGTACACCGCACTGCTGGCTTGTGGGTAGACGAACAGCTTGGCAAAACATTTTTTGCGACTGTTCGATATCGGCGACACAATCGGCGAAAGGTCTTTCGGATATTCCAATGAAGCTCTCAAAATTTACACAAATCGAACCAGGGTCACATTAACTTCAGTCAGAACGGTACAGTAATAGCACCTGTTAACCCGCCCCTTCCACTCTGCTGGCAGACTGCATGGCTCCCGCCCGTCCAGGTACCGAACACTGAAGACTTCGGGTGACTTGTTCCCGATGCTCTGCTGTCACGGACCCCTCGGAACACTGACTGGCGATGCTTGAACGTACACCTCAACGACGACAGCATCGCAGCTGTGTCGTTTTCTGTGCACCTTTACGACAACAGCATCGCAGGATTGGAGCTGACTAACAGTCGACGCTCACCCAATTCCGTTGCATCTGCCCGGTCCTTCCTAGACGCCGTTTGAATACGGGTAACCGCACGTCATGTGAAAGACCTCGCGGCCACCCTACACTGATGCAAAAAGTGTTATTTGCGTAACATAGGTGGTGTTTGTTTACGGTCCCTACCTGCCCGAGGCAAAGCTCAAGAAAGCACGTAAAACGCTAGTACCGTTCCAGTCACCCGGTTCCCAAAATAATGGTGTTACTAATGAGAATGAAATGTATCTTCACTCCACAACCCTCCACGACCTGCGGCAGACTGACGTCAACATTTCGTAACCAGCTCATGCCACCACACCAGGATTTCAGGGCATTGTTTTACCCTGATTAGCCTGTTTTTCAGGGTCTTCGTTTTGGACCACACTGTAATTAGAGGATTCAAGGGTTTTACCGCCCTGTCACGATCTGACGTCGTGAAATTTTGACCCTTGTTTTTGCAGTTGTTGTTTCTTGTAGCACACTGCCTTGGCTGAGTTCGGTAGTGGCAGCACTCTGAGTTTTCCCCCCTCTGTAAAAACTTAGCCAATCGGAAACTGGTTAAAGTTAAAGTTATATTTCTGGTCGTAACCAGTTTAAGGGGTATCCATTCCTAGATGAGCACGTGCTAACCCCTTCACTAGGGCTCGCAGAACACGCCTGCACGGGGGTGGGTTCGATCCCAGGACCTCATCTATCGGAAGTGTCTCAATCTACTGACTAGGCCACTTCTGGATAGCCAATCGGAAATTGGCTAGGTCCTTGCCACGGAGACACTCACACACACACCGCGTCAAGCATCGAATGTGCTCGAAACTGGTGAAGTCCTTTCCATGGAGACTCTCACAGAAATTGGACCGCTGCAGCGTAGTACTTTTATTACCCCGCTTACAGACCAGAAACTATTCAACACCCTGCCATTTCTAGGATACGACGCGGTAGCCACACTGCAGTCGCAGTGTGAATTAGACCTGGATTTTTTATTTGACAGGGTGGCCCAAAACGAATTAAGACCCCTGCACCACACACGGCTGCTCACCGCCAATTTCATTTACCTTCGTTTTCACAGACATATGGACAACCACCCTTGCTTTCAAGATCGAGTCGTTTTGAACAATTTCATTTATTTGGAAGCATTTTTTGCCAGTTCAAAAGATTTCCTTCATATTTAGTTATGCAAATAAAATCAGGACTTGATTAAGACAGGACATGCTCGACACTCCTATGTTGCTATGACTGTATTGAGGAACCATAATACTGCACGCGTGAATGGTGGTTGGACTAGTTCGATTTCTACTCCCCTCGTTGTACTACAAGTCGTTGGTGATGGGTTCTGTAGAGATTGTCATCGGACGGTGGTCCTGGCTGGTCGGACTGTACCGCGATATGAACTCCACACTTGTGGCCAGAATGAATCGGCCAATATCGGATGCGTTCAACTTTGCTAGTCGGGTCAAGGTTCTGAGGTGAACTGAACAGTCTGCTATTCCGTCGTTCGTTCGTTACATTCGTTCGTACAGACCCGCCACTAAAAGAACTGTTCATCAGGTGTACACCTAGCCCGCGCCAACTTCACTGCTCTTCAGGTGTACACCTAGCCCTGTGTAAATATTTCTTAATTACCCGATACTGAAGGGTTGTTGGGAATGCTTTTGTTTTAAAGAGGGTACGTTTCAGGGTTCTTAGACGAGTTAGAGGGGACCAAAAACGGTTCGCAATAAAACTATGGTCGATTCGCTAACGTATGAGTAAATCGTTTATAGCCTCAAAATTCGGGGAGTTCATTAGTCAAGCCGAAATCAGGTTAAGGGTGCTTTCCGAAACAAGTTGCAGGGCGTGAAATTGGCGAGGGCTAGGTGTAGTAACGCACGCAACGCAACCCATAAAATCGGCTGTTTTTTTTCCATGTTCATATGCATGCAACTTTGCCTAGGAATGCTATTCAGGTGCATGCCAGGTTGTTAGGCATGTGTTTACAATTTTCTCAGGATAAAAAGCTTCTTCTGTACTTTCACACGCTTTCGAAGATTCGATTCGAATTTGCATAGAAGGTCTGAAATAGATACGATTTCGGACCACGCAAATCGGGATCGGAATTTTTGGCTCTCGATGCTGCATTTTCTAACGTCACTCAATGCAATTATTGCATTTTTCCCAACTTCTAAATATTTTTCCGCTTCAAACCAACTCTTTCTGAACGAATTCTAATGCTAAATCGTTTGAACTGTTTGCGTAGATGGTGGACGCTTCGCGGGTCGAATCAGCAAACCCTAATGGGACGTCCATTAGTTGGAAAGGGCAATCCGAAACATGATAAATCTGCCCGAGTGTTAGAGGAGTTTCCCCTACCGCTATTAACGATATACGGTATGATACTTGTATATTTAATGCCACGTAGTTAACGCCAAGGTATTCCATATCATTTCAATGTACATGTACGATAAAACATTAATTTTGGTAGGCGCAAAATTTACAAATACTCGGGAAGATTTTTTATTTACCCACCCCAATTTATTTACATACCCAAGAATGGTTTGCTGATTTGTCATACGAAGCGTCCGTCACCTGCGTCAGCATTACAACAGATCTAGCATTAGGATTCGTTCAAAAAGAGTTGGTGCGAAGCAGAAATTTGCGTAGATTTTGGGCAAAAATGGAATCATTGCACCGAGTGACGTCAGAAAATGCAGCATCGAGAGTCAACCAATCCAACTCCGATTTGTGTAGCCCGAATCGGACCTATTTCAGACTTTTTGTGCCAATTCGAATCGAATCTTCCAAAGCGTGTGAAATTACGTGTGAACTTTTTTACCCTGAGAAATGTGTACTCACCTGCCTAATAACCTGGCATGCACCTAAATAGCGTTCCTAGGCTAAGTTGCATATATATTAAAATGGCCGAGGGTTTTAGTTGATCCCACACTGTTACTGAAACAATACGCCAAAAGCGCAGAAACTGTCGCTTCTGGCGCACTGTTACTGCCCAATCTTCGCTCGCGGCGCAGAGTTTGTGAGATTTCTACGCAATAAAGTTTTCAAAGGTCAAAATGTAGATTGACTGACAATTCCGCTTGGATTGACGGCCATCGAACCGTTTGCACCTTAATTTTGGGCAGACAAAAATACATTACCCTCTCAGATGCATGTTGTTTAGGGAGCATCAATCCTAAACACCGGGCGAAAGTGTTTAGGGAGCATCAACCTTAAACATTGGGCGAAAGTTTTTAGGGCTGATGCCTTTCACGACATGTTTTATTTTTATTTTT